CGCTTGCGCCGTCTATCTCGTTGAGGCACCGAGGGCGCGGCGCAGCGCGAGTGACAGGGCGGTTTCAGTTGGTTATCAGCTGGTCGAACGGACGTGGCAACGGTGTGTACGACTAACCACCCAGACCTCGTAGGGTCTGTCAGCCTGTGATGGCGACTTTCCACTTGGCACAACTTCAACCGTGGCGACTACAACCACCATTTCGATAGCCAACAAACAAGCCGTCGGTCTCCATTCATTCCACATAAAACAACGCTACAACTCCAATACATGAATGAGAAGTCTTTCTTTTGTTTCTTCAAACCATATACGAGTAGTGGATTACCATGGTGATTTGTTGCCAGTCGTCTTTTATATGCACAGAGAAGTTTTGTAGTTTCGTAAAATATGTTCATTCTGTTTCAACTCTAGGTTACAGGCTTGTATATAACAGGATTTTCGTCAATAATAGCATACATTAATTGTTTTTGAAGTCCAAAATATACAAATGGAACATTTTGCAGGAGTTTTGTAGACACTACACAACAACAGCAGATGGTTTGTAATAGGAACAAAACTGTTCTTTTGTTTTAAACACGACTAATTGGATAGATTTTCAGTCAAAAAATTGTGTGAATTTGATGCAAAGTGTTTTGTTTTGAACCTACACTGTGAGGTAAAGTATCTCATGTGTGGAAATGACATTACCTTGCGAATCGAGTGACGTACATGCTACCGGAAATGCCTTTTTCGTTGGGGTGTGTGGTAACTTCCTGTCGTTGATTCATCAGTCAGCATTATTACCTATCTTATGTTGGTTTTATTTTGGCATATTTTGAGGTATATGTCTTATTTCATAGGCGTGGTTCTATCCTAGCCTCTGATCTGATTCTTGTAGCAAAGTTTGAACACATCAAGAATCATTTTGTTTCTTTAGAAAGTATTTCGTTTCGGTCTCAGCTGAACATCATCAATTTTAGAACTAAATATGGAAGAAAAAAAATAGTTTTACGGCCTTGTCATCAGTAATGCTCATTAGTTTATGCATCTGTGCCTTATTTCATCAGTCATAAGATATACAGTGCATGCTGACTACTATTACTTTGCTTCATTCTGTTCAGATAATTGAATGTCGTCTTAGGCCCACATCCGAACAGTCACATCATACATAGGTCAAAGCTTCTACTAATATCGTCATAGTTTTCCATTAACAGCAACTGTGATATCCTCTGCATTGCTTCTTCATTTCACAGGCCGAGGTGGAAATTATTCCGCCATTGTCTCCAAAGATATCCATTCTCATGTGAAACAAATTGTAGATTATTATTTGGAAGTGATTTGTCAGTCTTCAGTTCGATGACAACATTTAATATTTGCTAGACGCCGGTGCGAAGTGTTAGTTTGTTTCTGAAAGTTGCCCATACAATCGGGTCAGTTATGAACTGCGTTTCGTTTGACGTGGTACCGGAGACACTTTGACTCAGACAGACGTGAAGGTCCTTGCAGCAGAAGCGTGTCTTCCGGTTGGATTTGACCATGAGGAGCAGTAGCTCGGAGCTGCTCCTGGACCAACAACAGGAACTCAGGAAGAGGAAACTGCTGGAACTGGCTCAACCGAAGAAGAAGAAGGCACCGAAAAGGACATGTCGGGAAAGGGTGTGGTTCTACACAACATCCTTCCTAGCCATGACTGCAGTGGGAGGAGGATCTGCACTGCTCTTCCTTGTGCCGTTGTATGTGGACCCTGCCATATCCACTCTGGCGGCAGACTTTGTTTCCGAACCTGTAAAGTGCGTGACCACAAGGAGGGAAGATCTGTGTGGCATTTTCAATTGTACTTGGAGTTCCTGTCGGGAAGGTTGCACCAGCGATATGTACAGTTGCACTCACATATATGTCATGTATTCCACCGCGCCCTACTATACGAAAAACGCAACATTGATACCACAGAGTGACGACGACGACGACGACGGCAACTCCTCTTCAACCGTCTCGCCTTCCTCCGTACCGACCTCAACGACGCAATCTGGAGAGAACTTCACTGAAGAAGCAGTTCTGCTTGTGAACATCAAGGGGTGCGGTTATCCTCCTGAGGTTGACTGCGAGAATTTTACCACGATATACGGCAGAGAAAACGCTGAGTTTCCCTGTTTTTACTCCCGTGGGAACAGAACCGTGGTTCTTATCCATTACAACCGGGAGGAACACGTGCAGGTGATAATCCACTATTTTGCTGTGCCGTTCATCGTGACCTTGGTAACGTCGGTAGTGCTCTGCGTCATGTATTGCGACTGTCGGTGTGGCACCGAGCGATCTCACAGGAGAAGACGCACGAGGCGGTGTGCAGTCGAAGACGCCAGGTAAGTTGTTAAACGGTTCTCTGCTTCATGTTCATACTGCAATCTTCATGTGCGACAAATAATCTATCTTTTGCTGCTAGAATAAAGGATTTATTTAGTTTGTTTAACGATATTTTTCAACAGAAAAAATTGCTTAGCACCAAACAGCAGATGAACCAAGAAGGGCGTAGAATGAGCTGGTAGCGAACAATAACACGGTACTATCCCAGGATTTTCCTGGAGAGTCTGAGGAAAGTGAAACCTCAGAATATCCGACTTCCGGGCCGAGAATAGAATCCGACACCAGCAGTGGTAAACTCACGTCAAGTTGCGACGTTTCGTAATTAAAAAGTTAGTCGGAAAGAACATGGGGTGTTTACTTTGAAATAGAATCTTCAAATTGACCTCTTCGAACTATTAAAAAAAATGCATCTTTTTAAGGCCTCGGGAGGATTTTACCTCTCTTACCGCGCGGATCCAAGTCATCAGCACAGTATTGCTTGCTTGCTACCTCCTAAGCTCTGATTATTTAGCTGTCTTCACGCGCCAGGGCTCCGCTGTTCGTGTTGCAACGATTTACGAGTGTACGCTGACCTTGAAGCATGCAATTTAGTGAAAGCTAATGTGCAGGACGTAAATTGTTCACAGTAAAGTGTCGGTTCAGAGACAATCAGAATGGAATTCGATATCATTTACGAAAGAAACACAATATTTATGCAAGAGCATTATCGGACGATACAGGCCTACTACTTCTGTGGAATCAATTGTGGTGTGTAAACTTATGTTAAAACCTAGAAGATTTCGACATATTCACCGCTGTGACAACCTGAAATGTTTTCTTTCAATTAAACAGATATGAGGTTGTAACCCTTGATTTGCTGTTATAAATAACCGGATTTGTAGCCATAGTCTCATAATGGAAATAAGCAAGTCCTCTGCTAGAGTATCCCTCTAAAACCTTATTGTAAGTGCACATTCCAATTGATTTAACAGTCAGTAAATCTGTATTTTGTATTTATGGGTTTCATACTATTGTCACTCTAACAGCGATCATATTTTCCAAACAGTATTAACAAGTTTATTGTGTAGCGGAAAATTACTGTTTTACATGAGGTAGGGGTTGAATTCTTCGGCGTCAAGCGTTTGAACCTCTCGTCAAAATTTACGGACGTAGGAGTGAGATTTTTGTGAGCGACCTGTGTTTATTGCCAACGTCTCTTGATTAATGCAACAAACACAGTTCAGTCGATTTTAAACCCATTGACACTCAATTTAAAACTCCTGATGTTGGTGTTACAGTGTTAATTTAGTTTAAATTGAATCGTTTTTAAAGACAGCTCCCAGTTATAAAACACATTCGGCTGTGAATGCGGTTTTTTAGTGTCACTTCAGATTTAGGTATACTCTAATTTGCGTCGTAGTTGCTTTGCTGACACACAGAATACTACCATACACTCATTAAAGTGAGGGTTGTGTTCCCGAGTGGATATTTAACATTAAACTTCGATAATTGTGTCGAAGTCTAAAGGTTTTTGACAGTGGTGCGTTAAAACATGTAAAAAAAATTCTCTCGGAGTTTGTCCATCATCTTAAATTAAAACGAAGTGTTGGAAGCAGAATGCAGTTTCCAAGACGCTGTTTTATTGTTTTATAACTTAAGATAATGGTCATAGTCCAAAAGAACAACTTTACACATTGGTGATTATGATCTTTATTCTTAATCCGAAATGGAAATAAAATTGTAATAATAAAAACAGTTTTCTGATGAGCGATAAATCGATCCTCGAGTCTAATTGGTTTAGTAGAACCGAATGGTACAGTGATTGATAATGATGAGTTTGAAAAGATGTGGAAGAGATATTTCGTGATTTATTTCAAGGTAGCCTTTTATCTTAGCACTCGTATGTCTCATGAAAGCCATGATGAATTTCATCAGTATATCTGGTCTGCGAACCGTGATTGAACCCAGTGAGTCCTGAGCAGGAGTTATAACATCACAGATACGGCGTTCAGTCTGTGGTGGTTGATTTGTCATTAGTGTAGTTTTCTCTAGTCACTTCGGAAGAAATTAACTATATATCTTTAGTTAGATGTGCAGTTATTCCTTGGTTCATATGATGGACCAGTGAAGTCGTGTTGGGTAGGAGAAACAAGACCATTTTTCTGGGAAGTCACTCAGTTTCTTAGGGTGACTGGCATCATTATCGAGAAGCAGCGTATCCACCGAAACAGTCACGTGCGGGCAACCTCGAAACTGAATGCTTGTGTGCTGATACCCGTCGCTTAAAAAGGATGTGTCGCTAAGAACGAATGTAGCTCAGACCGAAGACTTGTGAACTGGAGTTTATCTTTATTAAAGAATCACATTGATTTTAATTAAACTTCATATTTGTGGCAATATTACAAATTGTAAACAAATCATTTTGTGCAAAGTCATAACTGTATGTACCACCTTATTTAAATTTAGTAAATCTGCATTTTTTTCAGAGTGTGATTATAATTTTCATGTGATTCTCAGTATAAACAGCTATTATATTCTTATGCACCATCCATATAAAGTAAGTAAAGTAAAGTTTGTCCCACTATACGCCATGTAGGCGTTTGGGGTAAGTGGAGGTATAGCTCCTCTCTTCCTTGACCTCGGCACTAGATGGGAGGTGAGTGGTCAGCATCACGCCCCGGCCGGCTTTACCCCCGGGGAAAGGATCCCGGTACCCATTGTAGAGGAGGCTGGGTGGGCCCCAGAGCCGGTCTGGACGCAGAGGCTAGAGGAAAAATTCTCTGCCTCCGTCGGGGTATCCATATATTTATCCTTATAATGGAAATGCATTATTTCCTTTAAGCTACAAACTGAATTTACATATATTATTTAGATTAACTTCGTACCTCAAAGAGTTACTAAATCTACAGAAGCTTCCGGTTGAGTTAGCGTGTGTTCCAGACACTTCATTCTGCAAATAGTCTTTCGTTCTACACAGGTTTTGTGGTTGGAGGCTCGGCGTCCTGCATCCTTTACTTACACGAATTCCTTCAGCATTCCGCACTTTTTACGCGAAAGTTAAATTGTTCGGAGCATCGTTGTACAGTTAGACCGCAGTGACGTCATCTTGTATTATTCGCACCGACAGAGGGCACCGTGTCTGACAGCGGCCATTAACAAACAAATTGAATTGTGTGTGGCAGAACATCAGAATGCTGTCTAAATTTACTGGCATAGGGAAACGGACGTAATTACCATCTGGCTTCTATTAAACATATGAGAGAAAAAATTCGTCTAGGGAGATAAGGGCATGGGCAGAATATGTTCCCAAAATTATTGAAAGAAGCAAGTTCCTACGTCGAAATAGGTGTTCTTCACCGGGCCATGAGTTGAATTGTAACAGTTTTTTTATAACTTTGTTTTTAGTACGAAGGATACTTTAGAGCAGGGTGCTGCTGGATGTATAACGTGGGTGAGACTGGAAATGCATGCAGAATTTTAGCCGGAAAACCTGAAGGGAAGTGACAACATTAAAGATGAATATGAAAATATTCGACAATTTCCCAAGAAGAGCTTCGTCGCGTATTTCGAAACATGTTAACGAGATGTGAAACTTGCTTGCAAGCACAAGGAAGTCACTTTGAACATCTTTTGTGATTTAAGGTAACAACAATTAATGTAATAACATGTATTAGTGACGAGAAATATTCGTAGTTCTCTGTTACTAGCGGCACCGAAACTGACTCGCCCGTGACTCACGCGTACAAGTCCCGCCCACGTCAACAGCGCCGTCCGACAACGCAATGCAAGCACGACCGCAGGCTCATAAATTGTAGACCCAGTAGTTTCCGAATATGACTGAGAATGACCGAATCTGACAATGTAGAACCACTGCTTTTTCCGACTGATTCCCGTATCTCAAACAAATTCCTCGCTTCTTATTGCCCTGATGACTATTTTTGAAATGTGGTGTTTCTCTGAAACAAAATTCTGATTTAGCACAATCCCACAATTCTAAATGAGATACGTTTCACAAAAGAATGAGTGCTATTTGTAGTATACAGAGAGGAGCTGGTGACGATATCTTTTAGGGTTTTGACTGTGATGCTTGAACTCGCGAAAAGTTTAATTGCTGAAGTCCGACTGTCTTCTTAGAAGCAAATGCTAATGACTGGATTTTAACTGTTCGTTAATTCTACAGAAACTTGATAAACCCACGCAATAGATTTTATAAGCTAACCTTTGGAATCCCAGAAGTTTATCTAAATATTATTTAAACATTCAGTTCTTGCATCAAAGAAAACACAGCACCTATGGGTGAGATCAGAGGTTCTCACGGCTACGAGTATGATTATAACCAGAGTGATGACCACTCTGAAGACGAATATATTATGTTTTTCAGAAATTGCGGTCAATATCTGCTAGGATACACTACATTCAAAGGGCAGACATCTTCACAACACCTGCCCATTACAAGGTTCGGTCGGTTAATGTTGTTCGTACTGAGAACAATTTTAAACCCACAAATACACTCTGTGGACAAAATGCATAGTTAGATTGTATTAAAGCGCGTGTAGAAGGTGGGTGGTGGAGCGTCGTTCATTCTGCTACGTGGCGAGTTTACAGTTGATAAAATGGAGCGTTCCGGCACGGCACGTCGGATGAAACGGTATGTCGTACAAACGAAGGTCGGATAATCGGGACTGTGCTGTACCTACAATAAATGATGCAAGTAGGTATGTTTATCTTGGCTTACCTAGTACCTCCCTATGCTGGAGATGCGGCTTCGAGGCATGATCTTTGTTTGAGCTTTATGAAGGACTGTCGTTTCGTTCCGAAGTTAATGGGTGACACTTGCAGAATTGGTTGTGACGGAGAAGTGACATGATAAAGTGAGGAAACAAGTTACAAGGTTGTGAGGAGTGAGAAAACAAAAGGTAATATGCAACGAGAAAGTTTCATTCACTTATGTAATCGTTTTTCCCTTTTTGTTACACGTGTCAAGTGCCACTTCATTAACCCAGTACTGAAGAAGGGCATATTTCCGGGGAGACGAGTAGATTTAATATTCAGCACATGTTATGACCTAGACGTAGTAAAAACAAATGGTCGTGATTTGTAGGAGACAGGAAAGAGAAAATTGTTTAGAAACGTGATTGTGGCATGATTAAGGTTTGACCCAGTTCGTATTATTTATCCAAAATTATCAACACACTTTCCTCATCGCGTGTCTATAGAGTGCATGTCGTCATCTGTCAACAGTTTACGTGTTTTGTTTCTCTGAGCTTGTAAATTTTAGTACCTTCTCTTTATAAATCTAGTTTTAAAAATCATATTTTCAGCTGTTCTTAGACTTTTTAAGAAAGATGCTGCCCCGTGGAGTCAGTGAGTTAGCTTTTGTTGTTACAGGGTTTCGTGTCTTTTTGCAATTTTTGTATATCAACACACGCAGAATTTTATAATTTCTGTTTTCAGGAATGGGCATTATCGAATGTTATAGGTTTATTAAACTTTCTGCAAATATTTTTAATTGCCATCTTGAAAGTGAATGTTAATGCGCGAAGTAGCATATGTTTCATCCCAATCAAAATTTTATTTTAAGCTATGAAGTTTAAATACAATCATTAACTAAATATTTATGTCGATTTTGGTCTTCTGGGAATTAATGGAACCCTGAAGAAGGAAATAGCGTATTTCTCCTAAACATCAGTATCACCTACAAGTCCACATGGCGTTACTACCCAGAAGACCAACATCGAAATCTTTACCAGCATGAGAACCTGACGGCTCAGTCAGTCCCATCTATTCAAAACTATTTCTGTAGTTTTCCTCCGGTTAGCGTGTGTCTAGGATAATTTGCCATTTCAAATTACATTATTTAAACAATATTTGTAAGCATCTTTTTTCTGTGTCTGCTGTGTTTTCGGTTTATCCAGGCTTCCTGATTCTAACTATATCAGTTTTAGATGAAGACATATGAGTCTCAGTTTAACAATTTTCATCTGGATTTGTTCCCGAAAGTGTCCGCACAGTATCAGAGACCTGGGGGCATTTGCTGTAGCCGTAAAGGCAGTACGCAGCATACAGCTGGACAAGATCAACTGACCTTTCGCATGCGGGGATGTCATACGCCACCCACAAAAGAAGCAAGCAGTTTAATTGTCTCTTCCTGTAGAAACACGATGTGGGCATATATTGAGGTCACAGAATTCAATGGCGCACCAGCTGGTTGCTTAGAAACGCAACGAACGTGACCCGAGGGAGAAATACTCACATTTCATGTTCTAATGCGAATTCGTGTAATGGTGGTATCCCGTGGGTTACGTAGGTTTCATAAAGTACTCATTTCTTGCACTTGAAATTTTTATGTTTTGATCTTTTAATGTATCTGATGTTACATATAAGACAGTTAAGTCAAGACAAGACATGGTTGCATCCTGTAAACCGGTCTGTGAACAGATCTGTAATAGCTCGGTCCACCGGTGTGAGGTGATTGTTTTAGTACAATTTTCGTCTAGAATAAAATAAATTGATTTGAAATGCTTTCCCATTCGTCTTGCCACATGCCATGTGGACAGCAGTTTTCCATAGGGGTGAACGTGCTCCTGTGGCCTAAAATGTCGCCAAATTTGAAAGCTAAGACATACCAAATTTCAAATGACCATTGTTTCATTAATTGTGGCCAACAAACCAGAAGCAAAACACATGCTTCGTCTTGCTGCCGTTCTGCAAAAATATAAGTTCCTCATCGTCACGTCATTCGACATTAAGTGGCGCTAGTGTCGCTTTTACTTAAAAAAGTCACATTTTTACCATATTGGTGTAAAAACATACTACGTTTGCACTTTCTGTAATAGCATGAAGTACATACGACACTTTATGAAACTCCATCTGATGGTTCCACGTTATGATGAATACGTAAGCGGAAACGTTGATACCACAAAATTCGGTAAGAATACAAATAAATTATTTACAGGGAATTTAATGCTCGTACGTTATCGATTTAAATGACGTCATAGCTCAATGCATCATCGTCAGTTAAGTTATTACTCGAGCAACGAATGTTGTAAAAAGTTGTTGACAGATTTAACACAATTTATGAAATCTTCTTACTTTATAGGCAATAAATAAATGTAATTCTGACGATGACCGTCGTCTGGTTTGTTGCGCCGTTTATTCTGATAAAGTTTACCGACGGATCAGATTTGCTTGCTGCCTCCATCACCAGGGCGATGATGGAAGCAAGAATAATATCTGAGACGTCGTTAAACATCTACCTGAAAGCACTACGCAACATCCCAGAAGATAGTCATTTTAATAATCAACGCCGTCAGAACCTGAAATCTCACCAGTTCTATCGGATATGCTGTGTATATGAGGCGTCGTAGTTCATAACGTTGACAGGGTGACATTCTGATGGAAAAGAGTTTTTAACGATGTTAGCCTCAAGAAGGTTGAGTTTCCTG